TATCAAAAAATAAATAAAACTAGGATAATTTTCAAAGTAGCCTACCTTATTAAAGTTTACCTGTTTTTTGTTTTTAAATTTTGTTTCCAGTTTTATTGAGCTGTAACTGATGTATAACATCTTATGAAACTTTATAAAGTATGAACGAAAACATAAGAAAACCATTTCTTAAATGAAGAAGAATCTTAAAGTTGAGAAGCAGAGATTTTGGTGGAGTTGTGAGGGAAAACCCACACAGCTGGAGAGAAAATGTATCTGTCTGTCTAAATTCAGTACCTTCTCACGCATTGGTTTGCCTCATGCTGGCTCTCTCTGTGTGAGCTTGGGGAAGACCTGTCATCTTGCTAGGATGGTCTGGAATCTTTTGCTAGTTTCCATAAGATGTAGCAGAGGTGAAATAGTAGTTGAGTACTTTTCTAGATGAGCCACAATTCACCGAGGAAGGCCAATGTGGTTGGAGCCATGGGGGCTCATATTGCCCAAGCCACCCAGGATGTGCCAGTGATGACCAGAGGAGCTGGCTGTTGTCGCCATTGTGTAGTGAGGAAACCTTGGCTTTGCCCAAGGTTACGAGTCCCTCAGGGATTAGGCTGAGAGTTGAACCTTGACTGGTGAAGCTCCAAAGCCCAGGTTCTTTCCTATCGTATCACATGACTCTTCTCTCTCTCGTTTAGTCAGTCTAGTGTTTAGTCTCCTGGAGGGGGAAGAAGTGACTCGACTGCTCCGAGTTTCCCGTTTAACGACACCCCTTCCCAGACCCCGCCAGAGTAGCCTAAAGAACTCTGCCACTCCACAGGGGCCTAATGAAAATGTGCACTTCACAAAGTTCCATCCGTCAGAGTTACTACTGCACATGTCCGGTTCAAAGTAGGGATTCTACCCCATGGGGGCAAAAATGAGAGCTCTCATTACCTTTTTTATCAAGTTGTCTTCCAATTCCAAGGTGCCGGAATCAGGTGGGTAAAGAACGCTTGGGGCTATACAAACGGATAAATTATAAGCTGTCATCTGATTGGATGAGGAATGTTGCTCAATGTTGTACAGCACTCCAAAAAGGTATCGCAAGAGAACAACATTTCCTCTTGGCAGCTGGGGTAAAAGCCTAAGGTCAGAAAAATACACATTTAAATTAGGCAAGTGATTCCACTTAGGTGGTTGAAAAAAAAGACAGGGAACAGGATACATCCTTGTATATCTAGCACACAACCCGCTGTAGCAGAGTTCCAGGCATGAATGTATACAAAATTGTTGCCCTGACTTCAGTTCCTGCGCCAGATAAAATCTTCTCTGGTTAGTTAAATGTTTGACAGACCTTTAAGGTCATAGCCCTGGCAATTGATGTTCTTGCATCTGTCTTGGACCAGGGGATTTCCCCTAACAGTTTCATGTATTCAAAAGATGTAAAACGGCCAAGGATTCCACATTAATAAGATCAGGAAAAGAACGATAATGGCCCTAAAGTGTGTCTCCATTATGAACCTGGCCCCCATGGGTGTGAAGAATTGAAACTCTTTGGCATTGGTCATGATTATAGTGAGCAAAGCTGCAAAACGTAAGCCAATGTTTTCCTAATAGTATGTTGGCTGTATTTTGGAGATGTGACCAGAGTAATTCTTGCATCATTACCTCTGGGCTGCAGTTATCTTCTCCTCTTCGTTGCCTTGATCAATAACACCGAGCCATTTGTCATAGTGATCAGATAAAAATATACTTCCGTGTATATTTCTAAGAAAATCCTTAGGGAGATAAAAAAAAAAAAAACTATGTATATATGTTATAGAAAATATGTAATGGAAATATTCCAGAGAAAATATGTAGTTAAAAAATTCAGTTCAGCCCCCACTTCCTTCACAGATACCCAAACTGTGACCCACACGGTGCTCGGCTCTGACTCTCCATTGACTTGCACACGCAGGAGCAGGTGCTTGGATTTTCTCCCACTAAAACTTAGAGGCATAAAGCAGAGCTTAGTCTGTGGTGGAAATGAAGATAATGCTCCCTTCTATCATCTGGAACTTATTTTGTGTGTGTACTTTTTTTGCAAAGTACCACAAACTGACAGGGTCTGGCTATAGACCATCCTAAATCCTATTAGCTTCCTGGACAGAAATACACATACTCATGTTGCTTGTTTTAGACACAGCGCCAGCTCTTAACTCTAGCAAGAAAAGGCCTGAAACAATCAAAACACAAACAGGTGGGCTCTTGCACACATATTAGGAAAGAACTAGGTCTTCTCACTCGGGGTATGTGTGCTCCCTGGAAGAAAGCTACTCTCACAATTGCTTCATTCTTCCTTTTCTTAACTGTCTAAAAGTCGAGAGTCTAATGGCAGACTCACTGTGGTCCTGAGGATAGATTCATTTCTAGTTTAGGACAATTGTCCAGTTAGTTTGCCATGATATTATCAAGGCCAAGGTTGCAGAATCTCATTCTCCACCAAGATCCGTCAACTTCAAGAAGAGAAAAGTTTAGAAATGTCTAAGCACTCTCCCCACAAGTGCTCACCCTCTTCCTAGTCGGTGCTTATAACACGGAATCAGGAAAGAACCTCCTAACTCTTGCTAGAAAATGGATTCCATGTGTGCACCTTACAGAGGGCAACACTCATCTTGCTACCTGGTGTATCATCATTCTTCTCCTGTCTCCTGATGCCTATATGTATATTACTACTGGATATCACTATGGCCCCAGTGTAGGAGTGGTTACCTAAGTCATTTCTGGACTTTGCTATGGATCACATCTTCGAACATTAATGGGGGACAAGGGAAGACCAAATGTGACTGAGATTCTAAGACTGTAGTCAGTACTACATTAACATAGGGTTGTTCAGAGCTGTTCATAAGTGCCAAGCTGCATGGATTAAATTCTTTCCCTGTTCTATTTCTTCTTTTTTGTTTTTTTTCTTATTCATTTGAGACACAGAGATAGAGAGGGAGAGAGCATGAGGAGGGAGAGAGGCAGAGGGAGAGGGAGAAGCAGGCTCCCCGCTGAGCAGGAAGCCCGATACGGGGCTCGATCCCAGGACACTGGGATCATGACCTGAGCCGAAGGCAGACGCTTAACCATCTGAGCCACCCAGGCGCCCCTCCCTGTTCTATTTCTTTTGGAAAGTTTGCCTTCATTAGGAGGGTGGTGAGGATGTCTGCTTCGGTAAACAGTGTGTTTGTGTCAGTGCGTATTTTGAAATTTAGTATCATGACTGTAGTCATTTCAGTATTAGTATTTTGCATGGAGTCTTCAGGAGTGAAGGTGCGGAGGGCCGTGTGTGGTGAAAACAGAAAGTATTTCTAACACATGGGGCTTTTAACTCCTAAAGTAGCTTCCTTAAATTTTGATTTTGTCAAGCGTTTTTTAGCTTGTCAGGTTCTTAATCTACTATGCCCGTTATGGTTCTTGAGCAGTCATGATGAAGGACACCCATCATCGCTTCAGTTACTCACATGTGGATAATGCTAGAACCTTCCCTACCTTTAAGACGGATGCGAACACATGAATAGATTCCCTGTACGGGTTCACTTTGATCCCAGAATTTAGTTTCTCCGTTAGGACTCTGCGGGATTTTATATTGGCTGAGTTTCTGAATATGCCTTCTGCGAGTGGCCGTTTTTGATTAATAAAGGAAAGCATACCGTGTAGGAAGAAAAGAAAAGTATATGGCATCTCATATACCATGCCTGCCTCCGTTTTGAAAGAAAAGGGGAATGTAATGGTACAATGTTTTAGAGCGGGAAGGACTAAAGTCAATTTAGATTGCTGTTTTTTCAGTGTCTCTCTATATACTTTCTACCCATATATCCATTTTACAGTCATACACTGAAACATTTTCAACACTTCTTTTAATCAGATTTTCCACTAAGTTTACACTTTTAAATCAAACTTCTCTATCTCAAGGCCTTTGCGGAATCACCGTCTGTTTCCTACTTTCCCATTCTTTTCACATTTTTCCCTTACATACATGCTTTTCCGCAAGTATGGAAGTCTATTTAGGAAATACTCATTTCCAATTTGTTTATTTCTCTTTAAGTGACTGTATACTCCATTCCTACTTGTTCTATTTCCTTCCCTCTTGTAAAGTCAGGCTCAGAAACTCTCTTCCCCTTCTCTGATTACCCTCCCTTCTCATGAGTCTTTCATTGTCTTTTGCTCTATCTTCATGTCCTCTCCCTGCTGTGTAGAAACTTAATAAGGGCTGGACTCAGGGAATCCAACGGATCTGAAGTCTATTATGCTACTTATCTATTGTGTGAGCTGGGTCACACACATCCTGTACTGAGGCTTTTCTGATTCGTTTAGGCAGTGCAGAGGATGATAATCCTAGCTAGCCCCTAAATTTGCTGTGAAGCAAGGACCTGGGGTAGTAGCTAGCAGGTAACATGCTAGCTAAGATGATACATTTCTTCATAGCTAGCGGAACGTTCCCTACATCCCGTACAGTACTTGCAGAGACACCGAATACTCAGTGAAGGTCCACACTGACAATTCACTACAGCAGTTTGAGATAACACAGACCAAACTCTGTGGCTTTCATTTGACATATTCTGTTAGGATTAACAGATTCCTATTTGCCAGAGGATGAGTCTATGCTTGTGTCAGATGTTTACAATTGTTAGACTGAGTAGACTCCGCTGAAGGAGACTTGAGACTCATGTGAGTTCAGGAAGGCAATGAAGGGAGAGTGTGAAGATGAGGTGGACTCTCAGAGACTCACATACACAGAGTCCATTTTGACTGATCTGAACAAGCCTCCGCATGTCTTTGTGGAAACAAGACCCAAGTGGAATGGAGAAGAATGACTTTTCCTGTTGTATTTGCCTCATGACTCTGCAGGACCGAAATCAGATTCTATTCTTTGAAATAACAGTAACAGAGCTTCTCAACCAAAGCCAGGGGCTGTCTAATGACATCTTCATTTGGGGATAGATTTGGATGAGGACGCTTGGCCTCTCAGAGTTTCCCCTTCTCAGGAGGGCTATTGAAGACCAAAATGAGATGACCTACCAGAATTGGGAAGGAGAAGTTGTCTTTATCACACACATCCATGAGGGGAACTCCAAAGAGCTGTCCTGGCTTTGCAGAAGGTGGGGCTGTGCACTGGTTGTGCTGGGAAGTGCTGGAACCCCGACAAAACGCCCTATCTCTGAAAGAACGGGTTTTCACAGTCTTCAGGCTGGAGTCTAAGGAAGAAGTGAGAGTACTCGTAGTAGTAGTTGTTGTTTAATATGTTGAACCTTCTTTTTCCTTTTTTTTTTTTTTTTTTTACAGATTTTATTTATTTTTTGACAGAGAGAGAGAGACAGCAAGAGAGGGAACACAAGTAGGGGGCGGGGGAGAGGGAGAAGCAGGCTTCCCTTGGAGCAGGGAGCCCGACTCGGGGCTCGGTACCAGGACCCCAGGATCATGACCTGAGCTGAAGGCAGATGTTTAACGACTGAGCCACCCAGGTGCCTCAGACTCATCTTAATTCCTGATGACTTGTATTTTCCTAAAACTTTCCTCAAAGTATGTGGTACGTGTCATGAAAACAAGAAATGTCAAAAATATGGAGGGATTGATGATACGTGTCTCCAGGTTCTGAATCGAAAGTCTACCTTCTAAGGTGGACTGCTGCCAGTTAGGTCTGATTAGCTAGGCTCAAATCATACTACCTCTAGTGTCAGGGGCACTTCTCCTAGTGCTATTAATGGCTTTTTTTGAATTACATCCATCATCTTATTTATTCTACACAACAATTCTAAGATTTAGACATTATTTTTATCCACATTTTAGAGATGAATAAACTGATGCTTAGCTGCTATAATGGGCCAAAGATAATATAGCTGGTAAATGGGGGTACAGGAATTTACACTCTGGAGAGGTTGTTTGACATCAAGTCAAGTTCTTTTTTCTCAAAGATGCCAATTCTTTTCAACCCATTTCAAAGGGCACTGGAATCCTGTGGTGCCTCAAGAGCCCCTGAGCCAAAAGAGGAGGGAGGGGAAGAAAGGCCCCTTTCTCTGGCTTCAACCAGCGCACATGTAATATACATAAATATATACATTATGTTTATATATTTATATAGTATCAGTATATAATTATGTAATATATATAACTACATAGATATATATATAGCACCCATTTAAATTTTGTGAGAAAAAGTTCCCAAACACTGTGGCATACCATGATGAGTCCTAATTCTGTTATGATCTACACTAGAAACTTCTTGAAGTCAGAGACCTCATCTTATCCTTTCTTTGGTCTCACAACAGTGTGGAACCTCCCTTGACCTGTGAGCCAGCCTTCGGACGAAGGAGCCCATGGAAATCCTTGCCCTGGCGATGCTCTGGGCTCCAGAACAGCTCTGTCTAAGCATCTCCCATGACCCCTGGCAGCCTTGCTGTCTGCTTCTCACTAAAGCCAATAAAATTATTCCCGGTACCTGCAGCCTGCTCGCTGTTACCACGACTCATTGAGTTCTCTCCCAAGAGGGAAGTGATGTCTTCTCCAAATATTTTAAGGCAATTTTCAATGAGAAATTGTACAAGAGAAATCTGTAACACAAAAAGACAAGAATGGGGTGCTCTTTCCATAGGGCATAGTTATAAATCACATTATGTATATAGACCTTGGATCTAAGAAAGAATGTGAAAGATTTCCCAGAAAAATTCAGAACTGATAAAAATACATAGAGACCAGGAGCGCCTGGGTGGCTCAATCGGTCAAGCGTCTGCCTTCAGCTCAGCTCATGATCCCAGGGTGATGCGATCAGCCCTACATCGGGCTCCCTGCTCAGCGGGAAGCCTGATTCTCCCTCTCCCACTCCCCCCGCTTGTGTTCCCTCTCTCGCTGTGTCTGCCTCTGTCAAGAAAATAAATATAATCTTAAAAAAAATAATAAAATAAAAAACAGAGACCAGAATTCTCTAAGAAATAACTTAGGAAGAGTGATACTTTTCCGTGTACTTTGGGTACACATTTTAAAATACTGCTCATCAGTAGGCTAAAGTTTTAATATGTGGCCTAGTTTAATAGCCAACATTTTGGTATCAGTGGTTACATCATTAAGCCTAGGATAATTTTGGGGGCCCCTCAGTTGAGCATCTGACTCTTGATTCTGGCTCAGATCACTATCTCATGATGGTGAGATCCAGCCCAACATGGAGCCAACTTTGGGCTCCGTGCTCAGCGGGGAATCGGCTTGGGCTTCTCCCTCTCCCTCTCCCTCTTCTTCTGCCCCTGACCCGCTCACGCTCTCTCTTTCCCTCTCTCAAATAAATACATATCAAAATATAAATAAAACAAGGATAATTTTCAAAGTAGCCTACCTTATTAAAGTTTACTTATTTTTTGTTTTTAAATTTTGTTTCCAGTTTTATTGAGCTGTAACTGATGTATAACATCTTATGAAACTTTATATAAAGTATGAACAAAAACTTAAGAAAACCATTTCTTAAATGAAGAAGTATCTTAAAGTTGGGAAGCAGAGATTTTGGTGGGGTTGTGAGGGAAAACCCACAGAGCTGGAGAGAAAATGTATCTGTCTGTCTAACTTCAGTCCCTTCTCACGCATTGCTTTGCCTCATGCTCGCTCTCTCTGTGTGAGCTTGGGGAAGACCTGTCATCTTATTAGGATATTCTGGAATCTCTTGCTAGTTTCCATATGACGTAGCAGAGGTGAAATAGTAGCTGAGTACTTTTCTAGATGAGCCACAATTGGCAGAGGAAGGCCAATGTGTTTGGAGCCATGGGGGCTCATATTGCCCAAGCCACCCAGGATGTGCCAGTGATGACCGGAGGAGCTGGCTGTTGTCGCCATTGTGTAGTGAGGAAACCATGGCTTTGCCCAAGGTTACGAGTCCCTCAGGGATTAGGCTGAGAGTTGAACCTTGACTGGTGAAGCTCCAAAGCCCAGGTTCTTTCCTATCGTATCACACGACTCTTCTCTCTCTCATTTAGTCAGTCTAGTGTTTAGTCTCCTGGAGGGTGAAGAAGTGACTCGACTGCTCCGAGTTTCCCGTTTAACGACACCCCTTCCCAGACCCCGCCAGAGTAGGATAAAGAACTCTGCCACTCCACAGGGGCCTAACGAAAATGTGCACTTCACAAAGTTCCATCCGTCAGAGTTACTACTGCACATGTCCGGTTCAAAGTAGGGATTCTACCCCTTGGGGGACAAAAATGAGAGCTCTCATTACCTTTTTTATCAAGTTGTCTTCCAATTCCAAGGTGCCGGAATCAGGTGGGTAAAGAACGCTTGGGGCTATACAAACGGATAAATTATAAGCTGTCATCTGATTGGATGAGGAATGTTGCTCAATGTTGTATAGCACTCCAAAAAGGTATCGCAAGAGAACAATATTTGCTCTTGGCAGCTGGGCTAAAAGCCTAAGGTCAGAAAAACACACTTTAAATTAGGTAAATGATTCCACTTAAGAGGTTGGAAAAACAGAGACAGGGAAAAGGATACATCCTTGTATATCTAGCACACATCCCCTCTCTAGCAGAGTTCCAGGCATGAATGTAGACAAAATTGTTGCACTGAATTTAGTTCCTGAGCCAGATAAACACTTCTCTGGTTAGTTAAATGTTTGACAGACTTTTAAGGTCATAGCCCTGGCAGTTGATGCTCTTGCATGTGTCTTGAACCAGGGAATTTCGTCTACAAGTTTCATGGATCCAGAAGGTGTCAAACGGCCAAGGAGTCCACATTAATAAGATCAGGAGAAGAACAATAATAGCCCTAAAGCGTGCCTCTATTCTGAAGCTGACCCCCATGGCTTTGAAGAATTGAAACTCTTTGACATTGGTCATGATTATAGTGGGCAAAGCTGCAAAACGTAAGCCAATGTTTTCCTAATAGTATGTTGGGTGTATTTTGGAGATGTGACCAGAGTAGAGTAATTATTGCATCATTACCTCCGCGCTGCAGTCATCTTCTCCTCTTCATTCCCTTGATCAATAACACCGAGCCATTTGTCATAGAGATCAGACAAAAATATACATCCTGGGATATTTCTTAGGAAATCCTTGTGGAGATAAAAATAAATATGTATATATATTACAGAAAATATGTATTGGAAATATTACAGAGAAAATATGTAGTTAAAAAATTCAGTTCAGCCCCCACTTCCTTCACAGAGACCCAAACTGGGACCCACACGGAGCTTGGCTCTGACTCTCCATTGACTTGCACACGCAGCATCAGGTGCTTGGGTATTCTCCCCCTAAATCTTAGAGGCATTAAAGCAGAGCTTAGGCTGTGGTAGAAATGAAGATCAAGCTCCCTTCTATCATCTGGAACTTATTTTCTTTGTGTGCTTTTTTTGCAAAGTACCACAAACTGACAGAGTCTGGCTATAGACCATCCTAAATCCTATTAGCTTCTTGGACAGAAATACGCTTACCCATGTTGCTTGTTTTAGACAAGGTGCTAGCTCTTAACTCTAGCAAGAAAAGGCCTGAAACAATCGAAACAGAAACAGGTGGGCTCTTGCACACATATTAGGAAAGAACTAGGTGTTCTCACTCGGGGTATGTGTGCTCCCTGGAAGAAAGCTACTCGCACAATTGCTTCACTCTTCCTTTTCTTAACTGTCTAAAAGTCGAGAGTCTAATAGTAGACTCACTGAGGTCCTGAGGATAGATTCATTTCTAGATTAGGTCCATTCCCAGTTTTTTGACATGATATTATCAAGGCCAAAGTTGCAGAGTCTGTTTCTCCACCAAGATCCATCAACTTCAGGAAGAGAAAACTTTAGAAATGTCTAAGCACTATGCCCACGTGTGCATACCCTCTTCCTAGTCGGTGCTTATAACACCGAATCAGGAAGGAACCTCCTAACTCTTTTTTTTTTTTTAATGATTTTTTTTTTAAAGATTTTATTTATTTATTTATTTAAAAGAGAGAGAGAGAGAAACAGCATGAGAGGGGATAGGGTCAGAGGGAGAATCAGGCTCCCTGCTGAGCCGGGAGCCCAATGTGGGACTCGATCCCAGGACTCCGGGATCATGACCTGAGCCGAAGGCAGTCGCTTAACCAACTGAGCCACCCAGACACCCGGAACCTCCTAACTCTTGCTAGAAAATCGATTCCATGTGCTCACCTTACAGAGGGCAACACTCATCTTGCTACGTAATGTATCAGCATTCTTCTCCTGTCTCCTGATGCCTATATGTATATTACTACTGGATATCACTATGACCGCAGTGTAGGAGTGGTTACCTAAGTCATTTCTGGACTTTGCTATTGATCACGTCTTCGAACATTAACTGGGGACAAGGGAAGACCAAATGTGACTGAGATTCTAAGACTGTAGTCATTACTACGTTAACATAGGGTTGTTCAGAGCTGTTCATAAGTGCCAAGGTGGATGGATTAAATTCTTTCCCTGTTCTATTTCTTTTGGAAACTTTGCCTTCACTAGGAGGGTGGTGAGAATGTTTGCATGGGTAAACAGTGTGTATGTGTCAGTGCGTATTTTGAAATTTATTATCATGACTAGTAGTCATTTCAGTATTAGTATTTTGCATGGTGACTTCAGGAGTGAAGGCAGGGTAGGCGGTGTGTGGTGAAAACAGAAAGAATTTCTAACATATGGGGCTTTTAACTCCTAAAGTAGCTTCCTTATATTTTGATTTTGTCAAGCGTTTTTCAGCTTGTCAGGTTCTTAATCTATTATGCCCATTATGGTTCTTGAGCAGTCATGATGAAAGACACCAATCATAGCTTCAGTTACTCGTGTGTGGATAATGCTAGAACCTTCCCTACCTTTAAGATGGATGCGACCACATGAACAGATTCGCTGTACAGGTCCACTTTGACCCCAGAATTTACTTTCTCCTTTAGGACCCTGGTTGATTTTATATTGGGTGATTTGCTGAAGATGCATTCGGTGAGTGACCCTTTTTGATTAATAAAGGAAAGCATATCCTGTAGGAAGAAAAGAAAATTATATCGCATCTCATACCCCAAACGCAGAGCTCAAGCTTGCCTCCGTTTTGAAAGAGGAGGGGAATGCAATGGTACACTGTTTTTGAGCTGAAAGGACTAAAGTCAATTTAGATTGTTTTTTTTTTCAGTGTCTCTCTATATACTTTCTACCCATATATCCATTTTACAGTCATACACTGAAACATTTTAAACACTTCCTTTAAGCAGATTTTCCTTTCCATTGAGTTTCCACTCTTAAATCAAAATTCTCTGCTTCAAGGCCTTTGCACAATCACCGTCTGTTTCCTACTTTACCATTCTTTTCTCATTATTGCCTTACATAGATGCTCTCCCCCAAGTATGGAAGTCTATTTAGGAAATACACATTTCCCATTTGTTTATTTCTCTTTAAGTGAGTGTATACTCCATTCCTACTTGTTCTATTTCTTTCCCTCTTTTAAAGTCAGGCTCAGAAACTCTCTTCTCTTTCTCTGATTACCCTCCCTTCTCATGAGTCTTTCATTGTCTTTTGCTGTATCTTTATGTCCTCTCCCTGCTGTGTAGAATCTTAATAAGGGCTGGACTCAGGGAATAAAATGGATCTGAAGTCTATTATGCTACTTATCTATTGTGTGAGCTGGGGCACATACATACTGTACTGAGGCTTTTCCGATTCGTTTAAGAAGTGTGGAGGATGATAATCCTAGCTACCCTCTAAATTTGCTGTGATGCAAGGACCTGGGGTAGTAGCTAGCAGGTAACATGCTAGCTAAGATGATTCATTTCTTCATAGCTAGCAGAACGTTCCCTACATCCCGTACAGTGCTTGCAGAGACACCGAATACTCAGTGAATGTCCACACTGACAATTCACTAGAGCAGTTTGAGATAACACAGACCAAACTCTGTGGCTTTAATTTGACATATTCTGTTAGGATTAATAGTTTCCTATTTGCCAGAGGATGAGTCTATGCTCGTGTCAGATGTTTACAGTTGTTAGACTGAGTAGACTCTGCTGAAGGAGACTTGAGACTCATGTGAGTTCAGGAAGGCAATGAGGGGAGAGTGTGAAGATGAGGTGGACTCTCAGAGACTCACATACACAGAGTCCATTTTGACTGATCTGAACAAGCCTCCGCATGTCTTTGTGGAAACAAGACCCAAGTGGAATGGAGAATGTCTTTTCCTGTTGTATTTGCCTCATGACTCTGCAGGACCTAAATCAGATTCTATTCTTTGAAATAACAGTAACAGAGCTTCTCAGCCAAAGCCAGGGGCTGTCTAATGACTTCTCCATTTGGGAATAGATTTGGATGAGGACACGTGGCCTCTCAGAGTGTCCCCTCCTCAGAAGGGCTATAGAAGACCAAAAGGAGATGACCTACCAGGATTGGGAAGGGCAAGTTGTCTTTATTACACACATCCATGAGGGAAACTCCAAAGAGCTGTCCTGGCTTTGAAGAAGGTGGGGTTGTGCACTGGCTGTCCTGGCTAGTGCTGGAGCCCAGACAACAGGCCCAGTCTCTGAAAAAACCGCTTTTAACTGTCTTCTGCCTGTAATCTAAGGAAGAAGTGAGATTAGTAGTAGTAGTTGTTGTTTTATTCGCTTAACCTTCTTTTCTTTTTTTTTCTAAAGATTTTATTTATTTTTTGATAGAGAGCCAGTGAGAGATGGAACACAAGCAGGGGGAACGGGAGAGGGAAAAGTAGGCTTCCCACCCAGCATGGAGCCTAATGCAGGGCTCAATCCCAGGACACAGGGATCATGACCTGAGCCCAAGGGAGACGCTTAACAACTGAGCCACCCAGCCATCCCGCTTAACCTTATTTTCACCATTCCCATTCTACGGTACATTCACTGCAATGGCTAGAAGAGGGAAACTGAGGCATTTTTTGTGTAGAATTTTCCATGTTTTGAAATTGGCCAATAGCATTCTTATGGTGTTAACAGTTGTTCCCCAGATCCTGCAAACTGATGGTTAAACCTAGAGACTTGATCAGACTTAGTGTCAATGCTTTCAATCCCATCTACTGCCCGTTGTGCTTTATCATGAGGCACTTAACTTGTTGTTTGTTTCCTATTGGTAAGTATGATTAGTGGATTCATCCAGTGTCAGATCTGATTTTAAAAGCTCAAAAGATCTGGTATTCAAATCAAGCTGAGTTTGTTAATCATCTGCTTTCACAGTGAGTCTCCTTCCAGTCTTAAGTTTCCTCTTTGGCTTTCTGAGTGCTCAACTTTTTTTTTTTTTTTAATTTTATTTATTTATTTGGCAGAGAGAGACAACGAGAGAGGGAACACAAGCAGGGGGGGATTGGGAGAGGGAGAAGCAGACTCCCACTGAGCAGGGAGCCCGATGCAGGGCTAGATCCCAGGACCCTGGGATCATGACCTGAGCTGAAGGCAGACGCTTAACGACTGAGCCACCCAGGTGCCCCTGAGTGCTCATCTTTCTATGATCAAAAGGATCTGCCTCTCATGACATGATCCGCCTGACCCCACTTCTCAGGCGGCCTCTGGTGTCTCTGCTCTGGGCCATCCCCAAGGATGACTCCCTGCATTCAGGGTTCTTGGGAAATAGTCATTACATGCTGGCTATGTGGTAAGATTCCAGGTGACTGTGTTTTCTTGTGATACCCCACCAAGCTACCCAGAGATGACTTTTTTTTTTTGTAAATTATGTTTGATATTTACGGAAAAGAGTCTAATCCACAATGAATTGCACCCAATTCCTCACACATACTCAAACATACATGTATATACACCATACCAGTACAAGGCTTGAAAGAAAACATACAAAAAGAAAAACAATGAGAGATTATGAATGCCTGATTTATCCCCAATTTCCAGAGATGATTTTGAATTACCCAACATTCCCTATCAAAGGAATGCAGAAGAAGAGCTTTACAAAGAAAAGGTGATCTGCAGTGAAAAGCTGAGTTGAAAGTTTCTACTGCTCAGCTATGAATGTTTTCCTTATAAGATACCTTAACATTTGCTTATAAAATCTGCTTAAATAACTGAATTCTTTAAAAGTCCACAGAGGAGCCAAGCTGTAGAAGGATAAACAAATGAGCAACATTTCACCAAACACCCATAAACACCTGTCCACTGGGCTTTTCTGGGATGTAGTGAGTGCCTCACCGTATCCACTCACGTGGGTGGCAACACTCATGGCACTTGACCAGAGAGACCAGGATCTAAGAACCAGAAGCATCCTGGTTCTGCCACCTAGTTAGATTACTCAAAAATTCTTAAGCTTTGGTTTGCTTAACTTTAACATAAATGCTGCTGCCTACAACTCGTTGAACTAAATGTAATGTACTACTCAGCACAAGGCATGGCTCGTGGCAGCCTTGATAAAAGTAATTTCCTTGCTCAGAAGGCCTCAGGCAGTCTAGACATCAGTCTCTTCCCCCTCCAAAGCAGACATCACTCCCATTCTCTATTTGATTTTGCAACCTCTAGAAGGTAGGCAATCATGAAGGATGGCTACCACTTTACTTAACTAAGGCTCTTTCTTCCTGTTCTGAAATTGATACCGCTACCATTTTAAAAGGAGAGAAGAAAGAAAGCAAACACATTCTTAAATCCAGGAGGAGATTCCTGTACATCAAAATGTATGCATTTGCTGAAGATACGTGTTAATATGTAAGTTGAGTTGTTGTATGCAACCTGGGTTCCCTACTCTTCCCCTAGTTTTATTATTTCTAAAACTACCCAAATATATTCCATTCTTCAGCTTTAATAAGAAGAATGCTCTTAAGAAGAATGTTGTATCCCTTGGTACAAAGCTATATATCTAGCTACTCTATGAGTATACAGAAAATAAGTACACATTGAGTCCTATACTTTCTCCAAGGTATTTTCAGGCTTAGCTGGATGTTTCATAATGTACATTATTTGCTGTTAGAGGTCATGTTGCCTCTATTACTAATAAAAATATATGCTATAGCCATGAAAAATATAGGAATGATTAAACAAGCTAACTTTATGGAAACCTATTCTTTCTTAAACAGTCCTGGCAAGATTTGGGTTAATGTTTCCTAATGCTTGAATTAGGGTATGAATATTAAAAAATAAAATTTTTGAAACTTTGTGCTTATAGAATCACAATCATAACAATAAAATACTTTCTATTTTGGCCCAATACTTCTCAGATGAATAACACATTTTCATCAGAGAAAAAAATATCAATGGGAGAATACTGGAATGGTAGGGAAAAAAATAGCAAGAAGGAAGATGAAAAAGCCCTGACCATAAACATTCAGTCTCGCTCCAGCCTTGACCTGTGTCTGAAGCAGACATGGAAAGTGGGGGCAGAATTGAGACTTGAATTCTAACTGTAAGCCCAAGGCCACTTCAGCCTAAGCCCAGAATAAATCCAATTCAGTTCCATAACTCTTTACTCCACTGGAGTTCTTCCATTCCAGGTGCGTCTAAGCCATGCAGTCATTTGATTCCATCCTGTGATGGCCTGAGATACTAGATAAAACCCTGGAATAGGGAAGACCTGTTTCCAGGCCACAAACAGCTTGTGCTCTAAGAAGACACACAGATGTGTACTCACGTAATTATATGTAGAAAGTGTTCTGGGGATACAGAGAAAGGAGCTAACAGTCTACCTAGGAGAATTAAAACAAGCACACAACCTTCCTCGAAGTGAGTTGGGTCCTAAGACCTTTGGGTTTCTCTAAGCTCGATTCTGTGCAGTTTTGGGGTTCTTGCCTCTACTGTTCCTCCCCACCCCCCACAGAGAGAGTGAGCTCTGTGTCCTCAATTTGTGGGCAAGAGTGGAGACATGAGCCAAGAGAAGACACCTGAAGAAAGGGAAGGGGCTCACCTCTCCCTTGCTCATTCTGCGCCGGGTGCCTGGGCTTCAGGATGAACCGGCCTTGCATCTCTGCGAACCCCTGCTCCAGAAGGAGGGACTCCTGGAGGGTGGAAGGAGAGATGGAGTCCTCTGGTGTCTGCGGCAGCAGTGTGGTAGATGGAAGATGGCTCATTTTAATTCCATAGGGATGTTTATGTCCTATATGGAAAAAATATAGATTCAGGCTGATGGTGATGGCTCTGATCAAATCCCCCTTCCCATGAGTGTATGCATCACACTGGTATATGCTGCTATTCTCCTGGGGCTTCTGGCACTCACTCTGTGCCTCCTGAGTGAGCATCATATTCGCTCTTGTTGGAGACACCCTGCAGAAAGCAGGTGCCCAAGGAAAAGATTTTAAAAAGAGAAAAAAAATGTAAAGCATGTTACTTTACTTGGAATACAAAGATTCATCAGTGCATTGCACAATGCTGACTTTTGCTGTGTTTCCATCTGAGAATATTTAAGGCCTTCTAGTTTCTGCCTTGACACTAACGAGATCTGCACATCTTAGGCAAATTACTTGACCCCTCTGAGCCTTACATTCATCCTTTGAAATGCTTGCCCTCACACAAACTTATAAGGATCAGAGTAAATATATTAATATGCATTGGTGGGTAATATTTTTTAAATAATTGAACATATATATTAAGAATTGCTATTCTCTCTCACATAATGTCAGTTGAGCAGATTTTTTTTTCATTTCCTTTTGTCAATTTCTAGAGGCAGAGCTACTCAAGGGCAGTGGGATGGGTTGCCTTTATGCTTTATACTTCCCTCCCACTGCTGCCCTTCCTCCAAGGGGAGTCCTGCCAGGTGATGATCAGAGGGAAGGCTGAACAGTGTTGGGAACCCAGAAGCAAAGTGCAAAACGATGTTTACAGAGTGGAAAACTGCACCCAGAGTCAGTGAGAGTTGCCTGCCAAGTGATTTGTTTTGTTCTTGTATGCTTTAAATTGTTTCCTCTCTATAGAATTCTCAAAGACCCTGTGCTATAGGATATGGATCTCATTTTTTAAGAACAGAATGGAAGTTCTCTTTCTGTCATTTCTGATTTATTATTGAATGTAACTTGGGGAGCTTTTGCTGTTCCTTCTCATCTGTCATAGATGCAGTGTCAGTGATGTGTTCACAAGAATCACAGTGACTTCCCTCTTTTAAGGAAAAAGAAGCTTCTACGACAGCAATACAACCAAATCACAAAGATAACCAGGAGATAATCCGCAATTGAGAATTGAGAGCATTGGTAAAAAATGCATTTTGAATGCTGCCAATGGATCATCATGAATGACAGGCTCTCCGGATTCCTTAGAGCTGCCTTGGTGTGTGAAGCTGCTCAAAGTCTAAAAAGTTATCATCTATATTGTTTTACCTAAATTAATGCACTTTATTAAAATAAATATATTTAAGTATTTGACTTTTTTCCTTTTTGTGGTTGGCCGACTTTTACAGAGATGTCAATATTAATATGAAACATGAAATGGTGGGGGGGATTTTTTTCCTCAGCTATGCCCTTGGTGACTCTCTGTATTCTAAGACTGGGAATATACATTTCGTAGAAAGAAATTGGTTATTTAGATTTCCAGATCACTTGAAAATATTCTTTAGATAACTTGAAAAAGAGTAATAGCCTCACGGGATTATTTTCTTTTTAAGATTTTATTTATTTATTTGTCAGAGAGAGAGAGAGAGCACAAGCAGGGGGAGCGGCAGGCCAAGGGAGAAGCAGCTCCCCACTGAGCAAGGAGCCCAGGACCCTGGGATCATGACCTGAGCCAAAGGCAGACACTTAACTGAGCCACCCAGGCATCCCGCCTCACAGGATTATTAAAAAGATTTTGAAAAACGCATGTAAGAAGGAATGCTCTAAGATTTCTAGCAGAAATCATTGTCACCATTACCATACATTACTATACTTCAAGGTCTGCTACAGATCCTCTCTTTTTTCTCTTGTTTTTTAATCCTTCTATTTTTGGTAAGCACTGAACAATTTTGCTAATCCAAAGATTTTTTTTTAGAGGACTTGTGCTAATAACTATTTTAGGAGAGGTGTAATCTGTTTATCAATAACCTTAAGAACAGTGATGGAAAAAGCCTGAGAAACAACAAAGTGCAGGTAGTTTAGTCAGTGAAGACTTGAGGAGTTTAAATGTGATTATCTCATTCTCTTTATGATGCTGAGAAAACTTCTGGGCACAGAGCAGGTGTTAAATACATACCTATACCTGGATTCAGAGACATGATTGGATTTTAGCGGATTCTCACAAAATAGAGGCTATTTATTTGTTAGGAACTGGAATTCAAGACTGGAATATGAAAAATAAATGTATGGGAAAAAGAAATTCCAATTCTATGCTTTCATACCTAAGTGAGTAAATAAGTAAGTAAACAATAAACAAAAAAATTTTTAAGACAGCTCCGTTTGTCAGGTAAAATGAAGTAGAAACGAAAAATTTACATTTCTCTCCCTAACTAGACCTTAAGCTGATGAATGAAGAGATGTCCTCAGTGCCTGGGAACAAGTAAGCACCTGGTAATTCTTTAATAAACGTGAGAGTGAATATTGCATGTGATTTTCACTTTTAAGGGTATTTAAGCTGAAGACAGAACAACCATTACTTTGAGATGTAGAGTTACAATTTTGAACCTAATCAATCCCATCTTAGATTTTCCCTGACACTTACCAGTGAGTGGGTGTGGGGACGCTTCCTTGCCAGCACTCACCCACAGCTGGTAGTCTTTCTCAGAGCCCTTGGAAACAAAAAGAACTATGCATCATAACAAATCTTTCACAGTACTTGAAGAACACATTTCCTTTGCATTTCTCTGTTTCCAGAAAGAAAGAATTGGGGCCAGTATAAATGCCATTTGGTCCATGGAGGTAGCTACAGTACTTGTTAACTTGTTCCCTCATAGCCTCCAGTGGACCGTCCCAGGTTCTTGTCATTTTTGATAAAGGCCAGGAAACCACAGTACAATCAGCCCCTCACGGTGTGGGTGGCCCATGGCCTAAGAAATCACAGTTGTGCCCCTTCGCTTAGGAGGAAACTTCTAATCTCAGAGTCCTGCCTTCCGCTGTCTCTAGATTCCTTGGATAATGCTGGCTTTTGCCGCCAAATGTCCCTGCCCTGACATGCATATTGTCCAGAGAGCCATATACCCTGCTATGACTATTCCTGAGCAAAGTAACTTGAAAGGCATCAATAGTTCCGCAGCCCTGGGCAAAAGGAGACAAACGCCCAAGAGGCCTTGAGGAGATAGTGGACTGAAGTCAGCCACTGGCTTTGGTGCAGGCAAGCCCCACTTCAGGGAGAGAAAGAACAAGGACTGTAACCTAGACAACATATCAGATGCAGAAAACAATTACTCCCAGCAGAATTACCGCCCAGTAAACCTGGAAGTCCTACTTGAAACAAACACATCTAAATTATAAAGACCGCTGAACTATTTTAGAGAGTCTTCCAGGAGACTAAAGCAAAAAATGTTTGACATGGAGTTGTTGGTGATAGGTACTATGCTTGACCTGGACTCCTGATTAAAAATCATGGTCTTGCCCTTATGAAGAAAGGTCATAGGTATGGACACAGACACACACACAGACACACGCAGACACACAGACACACACACATAGCTAAATCTGCTCAAAATTGTATTGCAAATAACTCGTGAGAGCTAGTAAGGTAGGGTAGGGTTTGGAAATGCTATGCTGGAATCCCTTAAATCAGGCATACATAAAGCCAAATAACCCCAATTCTTCATTAAAACAGAAATTCTTTGTGTGGTGAGATTGATCACTTTATGCAAAGGAAAATCACAAACATGAAATAAAATGAGCTTCATCATTAATCAATCTCCTCAACTTCATCCCTAAAACCACTCACTCTCTTTCTAAGACTTAATTCCTATTTAGGGTATATATATCATACAGGTTAGAAATCAATGTAGATATGTGCTTTACTCAGTACATATAAATTCAATTTTATTTCAGATATATTATTAAATTTTGTTTGTACAGAAATCATTGATTTCTTATGCTAAATTCCAGTTGCCCTGAATTTTTAAGGGGCTTTATTATACCATTGGGTCAGACAGAATTTAAGTAAGAACCTTGTAATTATGTCATGTCATAATAGCAAGACATTTTTGCATTTATAGAGGATTTTATATAAGAAGCTGTGCTTTACAAGTGCTCCCTTCAGTTCTGTCCATCTGACTATCACTCTCCCTCTCTTTTCCCTTAGAAAACCTCATCCTCAAATATGTCCATGTCTTTCATCAAAAAAAAAAAAAAAAAAAAATCCAGCAACTCACACCAGCGCCATCAAAACATAAAGGAACAGGCCGTTAAAACCAAAACAAGATGAAAGTGATATGTACGCAACTGCCCCCAGATCATGGTCTTATTCAGAACTTGTCCTCTTTACCAGTTCATAAGGGGTGTGAGCCGCCTCATCCCAAGGAACTGCATCAAGAGGAGGTAGCTTCTAGCCATGTGGTCTTTATGTCAAAATGTACAACAAAACATATAATTTAGGATTCATCTAACTGGGATTGAGTCCTTGGGTGATGACCAGGGTAAACAGGGATGGGGAGGAATCAGGAATGAAGACACAGACAGAAGAGTCCAATAGAGGAGGAAATATTTAGAAACTTAGAAATATTTTATTGTCTGTGTATAAAATATATACAATAAACTGCATGTTGTTATTAGCACTCTAAAATTATAGCCCAATTTTATGCTATGATTTTGAATTCGCAGAAAATTTAAAATGGGAAGACAAGAAGAGCACCCATGTATAGGCTAATAATATAGCTTTGCTGCCTTCAATTTCTAAATCTGGGGGACAAAATATGACTATGATATGTATAATAATCAGCTGTCTTATAACGGGAGGTACACAACACACACACACACACACACACACAAATCTCAAAAGTCAAAGATGGTTTTTAAATTAAAAATAGTTTGCAAGGGAACTTACAGTTATTCCTAGCATTGGTAGTGACATGTTGATAATGTCATTCACTGTGTCTGAATTTGTTACTGTTACAGTTACAGACTGTAAAAAAGAAATGAGAAAAATTGCTATAAATTTTTAAAAATTTAAAGCAGGTGACCAAATAATTATTGTCAAATTATTATCCATACTCTAAAGGCAAAGCTTGTTTTCAGTTAATGACAAAGTAAAGCATATGTAGAGCACACACCCTTGATTACAATATTTTCATTTCTTTACATAACATGAGGCTAGTAGGAAACATTTCAGTGAAACATATATTTCCCTTCAAGGATTTGTGGCTTACAAAATATAGCAGCTTAAGCAAGAAAGAGAAAAACAGAATTCCACGAGGGGACATGAATTGACCCTCAGCTCCATAAGGCTATTCCCAAAATAGAGAGGGGAGATAGTTTAAAAAGGAGGAGCTAGATACTTTTCTCTCTTCGCAATTACATACTCAGTTTCAGCAAAATCAGAATAAGAACCGTCTGTGACAGACATTTTTTTAAAAAAAAAACAAACTACTATTTAGTCAATACTTTCTTTGTGTCATCATGGTTACTAAGATTTCCATTGTTGAAATCTGTTGAGACAAATAAAACCAATGAGTCTAGGAAATGAGACTGAAAATTTTAGAAGTTTATATTCCATTCGCAACTCTGACAGTGAGTAGTTACTTATAATATCTCTCTATCACACCTTATATTGAGAAACTGCTCCATACAACAAGGAAAACAGTTATTGAAAATTATCTGAAAGGGATGGATAGGAATCTGAGATGATATCGATAAAAGTACCCGAATTCCAAAAGACATTTTAAAAGAGGACAATATGTAACCAACCACGCATACACTTTTTATAACATTATTAGGCAATGAGGCCTGTGTTCTTTGAGAAACAGTGCATGAAGAAGACAAGCAACAGAAGTGGACACTCACAGTCCTTAAAAATATTAAAAACAAAGTTAAAAGAAACTTGTTCTTTCATTGTATTTTTCTTCTTATGAATTGAAATGCAATTGCTTGATATGACAGATGGCCCAAAAGTTGCTTGATAATCGAACTTGTATAAACAAAAGTGTTCATTGATTTCAAACTACTTGAGCTTTAAGGATTATAAAAAAAAGTGTTCAGAACCTAGCAGTAGGACTCAGAGCACCCAAACTCAAGGATATCCTATGTTAAATTGTCTAGGAGGGGCTTCCTATGTTAAATTGTCTAGAGGATTCAAGACTGGGTCTTAGCTTGAAATTTAGTTAGAAGTAATGGCTCTGCTATTTTTTTTAAGATGTCTGAAAGCCTTTCAGTACAACTTAAAAAGTTTCCCACAAATTTTTTTTTTTTTTAAGATTTTTGTTTATTTATTTGTCAGAGAGAGAGCACAAGCAGGGGGAGCCACAGGCAGAGAAGACAGAGGGAGAAGCAGGCTCCCCTCTGAGCAGGGAGCCTGATGCAAGACACCATCCCAGGACCCTGGGATCATAACCTGAGTCGAAGGCAGATGCATAACTGACTGAGCCACCCAGGCATCCCTCCCATGAAATCTTTTTAAAGAAAAAAAAATCTCTTTTGAAATACTAATAATCACTTTTTAATTTATCTGGTCTGCAAGATAATGGTTTTCATGGTATAAGGAACATACTATGTTCAAAATAGTAATTCCAGAGATGTATGTATATTTTCCTGCATGTTGTAGGTTCTCCAAAACAGATAAATTCCAGTAGATAGAGCTCTCTGTAAACAAATGACTTCAGAAAAATAAGCTGCTTTTTGAAATAATTTAAAAGAAAAAGAAATGTTACTTTTTTTTATATGAGTCAAAGTGTTACTTAATATATGAAGAACAAGGAATATGTGATCAATTCTCAAGAGCTGAAGCCAACCCTGAGATGATCTAGATGTTCAGACTGTTAGCCAAAAACAGCTATTACAATAATGCTCAATGATACAAATGAAAATATGCTCACAATAAACGAAAGAGGCATCTTAGCATAGAAACTAAAAATATTTAAAAACAGAAATTTTTTATCTGAAAAATATCTTAAAGAAAAAATTTACTGACTAGGCTACATTGCATAATGGAGATGACAAAAAGAAGTCAGTGATTTGAAAATAGATAATAGAAATTATCCTGTCTGAAGAAGAAAAGGGGAAAAAAAGATTGAAAAAATTAAGAGTCTGAGGGATCTATGAACAATATGAAAGGGTCTAATATACATATAACTGGACTCTCAGGAGGAGAGGAGAGAGAAAATGGGGAAGAAAATATTTGAGGTAATCATGATCAAAATTTCCCAAATTTGGTGAAATTAAATTTATAAATTCAAGAAGTTCAGAATATGCCAAATAGGACAGATTCAAAGAAAACCATGCTTTGATACTTCATAGCCACACTGCTAAAAACCAAAAATAAAGAGAAACTCTTGAAAGCAGCTAGAGAAAAATGACAAATCACCTACAGGGGATTAACGTTTGATTGATCACAGACTACTCATCAGAAAGCACAAAGACAAAAAGACAGTGGAACATCTTTAAAGAGCTGAAAGGAAAAAGTTTGCGAACAAAATTCTACATCCCTCAAAATATCCTTCAAGAGTGAGTGTGAAATAAAGCCATATTCAGATAAGAGAAATTAAGAAAATCTGTTTGCACCAGGTCTGCACAAGAAATGCTAAGGATCATCTCTCTAGGATGAAATGAAAACAGTGTTAGAGGGAAACTTGGATGTTCAGGAACAAGTGAAGAACATTAGAAATGCTTATTTTGTGTAAATTATACATAAATAAAGTTGATTTTTAAAGATTTCAAGGTAATTTTCCATGGAAAATTCTGAGTGTAACCCACTGCCACAGCTGAAATCAAAGCAGGCAGAGACAAGAGTGTGCTCTGCTGCTAGAGAACCCTCTGGCCTTATCTCCTTCATGCAATGCATCTACCTGGTGCTTAGAAACCAATCAAAATATTTGCATGGCTTTTGCTTTGGCCAGGAATAACTACCCCTTTTTCCACCTTCAAATACTATTTTGTGTGACCTAGAGCTACTGTAAAGTATAACAGGAAAAAAAAAATGTCACTTAAAGATACCCAAAGTATCTTGTTCATCATTGCAAATGTCTTGGCTACTGCACTACAATTTCAGAAATCAAATTTTATACCAAGAATGGGCAACTGGTTTGATTTTTTTTCCCCCAACAGCCAAAAGAAAATGAGATAGAAATATGCTGATCCCTTAAAAGTGTCATCCCTCTGAGCTCAATTCAACCCTGATATTCCTTGGATCAAAAGACCTTTCAAAACCCCTCTGCAGTTGATATAACTACTAAGTGAAATACCTGACCCTTGAGTAGATCCTGTACTGGAAAGGAGACATTATTGAGGTCAACTGACAAAATGGGAACATGGAAGGCAGAGTAAAGTATTACACCGATGTTAAATTTACTAAAGGTGATAACTGTGTGATGGTGATATAAGAGGATATCTTTATTCTTGGGAAATACCTAGGTTTAAGGATAAAGGGCCATGGCATTTGTATGACCCTCAAAAATAAGTATAACATACACATAATAGGGACAGAGAAAGAAAATAAATGATAAAGCAAGTGGAGTAAAATGTTACTAATAGCTGAATCTAGGTAAAGGGTGCATGGGGTGTTTTTTGTTTTATTTTTATACCTACAACTTTTCTGTGAGTTTACAGTTATACCAAATAAAGCGTCAATGGGGGGAGGGTGGAGAACTGTGGAAACAATCCAAACCATTCTGTACATAAGTAGTAACCATTGGGAAAAAATGTTTACTTCTAGTAGGAAATACCTGCATGTGAAAATCACCTTATTACAAGCCAGTGTTGTTGCTATTAGAAAGAACCAGGGAAATATTATGGATATTTAACATGCAATATTCTTTCCATGCTTAAGTACTGTGGCATGGATTCCTCTCGCTTCATATTACCTAGGATTCACTCTTTATGTATACAAAGACACGTGTAGACAGGAAAATACATTTTCCCACATGGTACTTTTCCAAATACTCTCTCTCTTCTTATCTCTTGCTCTCTCCTTCCTACCTCCCCATCTCTCCCTCCCTCCCTCTCTCTATCTCCATCTCCATCTCCATCTCCATCTCTTTCATTCTATCTGAATCAGGAACATGGAATTTAATTTTTGGTCTTAAAAACACTTACACAGGCACAGTTCTTGATGTCCTCAGTGAAGATTCTGAGAGGAATGCTCTTGGGCTGGTCCTTCTCTTTGGCCAGATTGATGTACCTAATCAAATTCAATAATAACCCCAAATAGAGTAGGATGAATTAGCTATTAGCTTACTTTCAAATTGATCTATGTGGCTAAAATTTTCAACATACTCTGTTATTTTTAAATGCATGTAAATAAACTCAGCAACATCAAATTATGGGTTGGAAGAAAACATGCAAAACTATTTCAGGAAAATAAGACATGACTCAGAAAACAACAGGTTGCTCTTGTCATGTAAGATGTGAGTAGCGGATCCAGTCATCAAAGCTTTCCTGCCTAGACTGGAGGGCCCAGCACCTTCAAGGGTAGGAATGAGAAGGTGCTTTGAGCATCACTCAGGAGAGTAAATTGCACTTAAGAAAATTTAATATGTATCTTTTGAGAATAATGTTAGCTCCAATCATTAGGTCTGAGAGAAGGGGAAGATGAGAGTGATAACCAGAATTTCATCAAAAACAAGCAATATGTGCATGTAAATAAGAGCAGATTATTTGCAGTAGCAGCCAGGGTACATCTAAATAAGAAATTATTTGAGGATAGTCTAACAATTTCTACTAAGTAGGGGAAGCATAGTGTGTGGGGGCACTGCTTTGAAGAGATTTATTCTTTTCTCATGGGTTAAAGATGTATAATATGTATAGTGACAAGATACCTTTGAAGGAAAGAATGCCATTTTTCCTTTTGTTCCGAAGAACTGCAATTTAAAAAAAATGGGAAGAAAAAATTAAGATACATACAATACTTATACTAGCAAAATAAGATCACCATTCCAGAAAAAAATAGCAGCAGCCAGTTGTTAAGGATGTGGATGCATGTGTTAATATCATACTGTCCTCATAGTTGCGCTTTGGAGGGACCCCACTCTTTTATGAGCGTATTAAAGCAATGGGAAGTAGATCCTAAAGCGGGAGAAAAGTTGGTTTTGAATCTGAACACTTAATTGTAACTATGTGATGCAAGCTATGTGATCATGGGCACTTTGCTTCACTGCGCTGATCTTCAGTTTCCAGAACTGGAAAAGGGTTAATTATACCCCGAGTGTTCCTGCAGCTGCAAGTGCTATTCAGATATAAAGAACATTATTATTCAAATTAAATCATACTTAAGGAATTTGGCATTTGGATGGAACTATCTTGGCCCAGAAACAAGAATAGCTTTTTAGGAAGAAACACCTGTAATATTTTTATTTCTTTATACACATAGCAGATTGGAATGTGTTAAATTAGTTTCTAGAAAACATTCTTCGTTACTGTGATCCTCTGAGCAAGATCGATCCAGCTAGTGCTAAACTACTAAAGGTTAGTCTTTTCTCAACTAAAGTTTTCACAGCATTTAATACCCAAAGTTGCGAATGTTTTAAGCCTCATGCATACATGGCCTTACCACTTACTAGCGTTTTTTTACCGTGGTAAACTACACAAAATAAAATTGACCATTAGTGACCTTTAGTACATTCACAGTTTTGTGCAACTACCGTGACTGTTTAGTTCTGGAACATTTTTTCACCCAAAAGCAAACCTGTGTCCACGAAGCAGTCACTCTTCCTTCCTTCCTGTTTCTAGCTCCTGTACCATATTTTGTGTATTTGTTGATAAACACTTGGGTTGTTTCTACTTTTGTTTGTTTGTTTGTTTGTTTTTTGGCTATTGTCGACAATGCTGCTATGAACGTTTGTGTATCAATTTTTGTGTGGACCTATGTTTCTCTTGGGTATCTATCTGGGGGTGGCATTGCTGGGTCGTATAGTAATTCTGTTTGACTTACTGAGGAACCATCAAACTGTCCACAGTGGCTGCCACATTTTATACTCCTCCCAGCAACACTGCTCCCCAACCCCTCCATCGCTGTTTCAGGATTTGTCCCATCTGGAAAATGGAACGCCCACTTAGCGTCCCAGCCTGCCTATGCGCATGGACACAGCTTCTAGTTAGCCATGCTGATCTGCAGAACAGTAATAATCACAAATAGCAAAAGCACTAGGTGCCAGGAATTGTTATAAATGCCTTCTATATGTTTACACAGCTTTTTAACTAATATAACATGTATAAGCCTGGCTTCCACATTTTCCTCCTTGTTAGGGAAAAAAAGTCTCTTGGAAACTCCCCTGTCAAAGACTTTATACATTCCCAATTGAAACTGTTTCCTTCCATTTGCAACATGGAGAAGACAGGAAGCAAGAGGAACTGAGAATCTTTACAGAAATACGTCGTGGAAAAGAAGACATGCGGAGAGCATATAAATACATATTTCTTCCCAATAAGCTTTGAAAATTTCTCCTTAAGTCAACGCTGCATTATAGGGCTTAATAAATTAACAACTTGTAAACATTTTCGTTGTCTTCCCTTTGTGATGACGTGTGACATTTTGGTGGAGTGGGGTGAGGAGAAGAAAGAAGGGTGTTAAGTGCATGTGATGAACACTCATTGTGCAACACAAGAATGAGACTTGGGGTGTGGTTGTTTCAAACAGCAGATGTAAGTGTTGCACCACCCCTGTAAACTCAGGAGTGTCTGCTCAGGATGTCCGGGGTAGAGAGTCACATTCCCCATCCTCGTGTCAGCCTAAGAATGTGTCTTGCACAACTAACCTCTACTCAATGCAATCATACTTTTGTTTTAGATGGTCACCTCTCTAGAGACACCAACTAAGATAATCAGTACACAGCAATTCAGGCAACCTCATATTCAATGACATGATTAATTTATTTGTATAATTCCATACTATTTTTAAAGGAATGACCTTGGGAGTATAAGAGCAATTTTTCAAATTTAATTGGACTCTTTAATAGTACTTGCTCAAGAAAAATATGCCAGTGATTTAGAAACACACATACCCCCTGGGAATTAGGGGGCAGGATATTGGAGAGGGGTTCTAGAACCTCACTCTCTTGATTCTCCTTCCATATGCCTAAAACACCCAATTCCTCAAGTGGCTCCTAGAGCCCATGGGAAAAACCACTGATCAAAACCAAAAGAAATTACTCCAATAGTTCCCACTCTATGTTATCTACTTGCTCCCATTTGTACATACCTTTTGGGGGAAAGTACAAGGCAAATGAGTGTCATTATGGGAAGTCAAAAAGGGAGTCACTGGCTTGACATATAATCAGATTAAAATGTTTTTCTTTTTATCCCATGTAAATACAAGACCAAACGGTCGGTCTTACCCGAAGGTGGCCACAAAGGTCACCGTGGGCCAGCCCAGGATAAAGGACCTCCCAGCACAGATGTTGGCATCCTCCACTCTGTCCATACAGTTGGCAGTCCACATGGTGTTCAGTGGTATTTTCTTTTTTATCTTAAGTTTTTTCTTATACCTAGAAAGATACCCAAACAAGACCTCTGTTAGTTTGTTTCATAAATGTTATGGGAACAGCTGTGCTCATCAGAGACCAGTTCTCACTGCTCCAGGGCACAGCATGCCTCCCTTGTCTCTATTACCCTCTGTGCCCAGCACAGCAAATGGTGACATGACCTTTACAAAGTGTGTGTTGAGCGAAGTCTGGCCCTAGGAAGGCCCTGAAAACACTTCCTCAAATGGCAGCAAGTGGCCATTTTTCTGAATGTTGAGTGTTGAGTAAAGACTATATATTCCAGAGCTTTTTAAGAAAACCAATTCATTTATTATTGTTAGAATTTGTTTCTTATTATATATAGTTTTATGGTTATTATTATAGTTAATTATTCATTTATGACTTGCTTACTTCAAAAAGTATTTGAGGGGCTGAACAAAGCTACCTGATACACGATTTATAAAAATAGTCATACAATTTTTTGCTTAAGAGACACAAACCAGGGGGCGTGCCTGAGTGGCTCAGTCGGTTAAGCATCCAACTCTTGGTTTCGGCTCAGGTGGTGATCTCAGGGTCTTGAGATCGAGTCCCCATGTAAGGCTCCCCTCTCAGTGGGGAGTCTGCTTCCCCTCTCCCTTTGCCCCTCCCCCCGCTCACGCTCATTCTCTCTAAAATAAATAAATACATAAATAAATCTTCAAAAAAAAGAGAGAGAGAGAGACAAACCAAGAACAAAAAATAAACTTGGATCAGAAAGATTTTTTTGGGGGGGGGGGGATCAGAAAGATTTAAAAGTTATTTTCAACCTTAATTTAAAAAAAAATACTTTCTAGCCTTTAAAGCATAGGTTATTTTCAATTTCCCTTCTTAAAATTTTATCCATATCATTTTCCCTTAGATTCTGGCTAAAACTGAAAAACTGTTAGCCTACAGATTGAGCCCAATTTAAAAATCATCAATCCATCCATCAATCAATCCCAGATCAGCGGTCAGGAGGTCTTATATGTGAGTGATGGATACTTCCCATTTCTCTGAGGAGTCAGAAGGTGATCAACTTTGTCAGTGGTGAAATTGCTTTTTGACAATTTCTGCCTAATCTTCTTTGATCTCTAACATGAAAACCACCATATTGATTGATTTGGTTAATTCACAACTTTAACTCTCAGGTGGGCTTGGGATTTAAATAGTTATAAGCCCTCTGAGGGATGCTTAGGGAACTTGGACACACCACTCTGGAACTCCTTACTATTCAGAAACACATGTGGAAACACTAAACTAAAATGAGATCAAAGACACCTCATGTGCAAAAATCCCTGTGACTCCAGTGATTCATGGAACAATTAAAGCTAAGACTCTCCAATGGGTTTTATGAAATAAAAATAATTTTGCTGGACGCACACTTGAAGGATAATCTAGATTCAAAGTTTATGACACAATGAATAAAGTCATCGGATAAAATCATTATCAGATATCAGATGTCTGATTATCAGATAAAATCATTTTTCTAGATAGTAACTCCAAAGGCATTGTCAGGGTAGAAATAGATGGCTAATGGGAAAGATAGACATATATCTGTTGGTTTTTAAGATTTTTTTTTTTTTTTTTCTAATGTAGGTATCTGTGTGTATACAGACACCCAAGGTACTGTGTGGGGACTTCCAAATACATTGACCTGGAAAAAGGCATTTCAGTAATTCTCTCCTTAGTTCAAGAAAGCACCAAGATTATCTACTCCAAACCAAGGAGTTATCCCAAAGCCCAGAGCATGGTTTCGACTGTCCTATCACATTTGGAGCACTTATCATATGCCAAGCACTGTTCTAAATATTTTATAAATACAAATATAAAAAATGTAATCCTCAAACAACTACACTAGGTGGTCTTTATTAGCTCCATTTTACAAATAAGGAAACTCACAGAAAGGTCAACTAAATTGCCAAAGGCAAGAGAGTTTGAACCCAGACAGCCTAACTCATGAGCCCATGTTTGTAACCACTTGGCCTCTGTGGCTGCTGACCTATCGTTCCATGAACTACCCTTCTCATGTTTCCTACCCTCACTCAGCCTCACTTCGATCCCCAGAGCCATCAGGCTTTCTCATTGGATTATCTGGGGAGTGAGAGGATAAATCTCAAGACATTATATTAACAAAGCTGGTTACTAGCTTGGAAATATTTAAAGTTTATTACAACAAAGCTTCATACTTCAGTGGATTCTTCTAGGGTCTTACTGCATTTCTTCACTCTCAATCACTGACCCAACTGGATTATCTCAGTAGAAATTAGAAAGTATTAATCTAATGTAAACTGACTTGAGGAGAAGAAAGAGGAGGAGAAAGAACTGTGGTTTTTATTTCTAAAAATAGTCCTTTATTATATTTGTATTAACATGATGGATATCACTCTTGCTTTCTGCTACCTCAACCTTTATACCAGAAGGGAAGCCCCAGTGCACTGTGGAAATTTACAGGATTCTAGGGGGATTTCCCCTGTTCTAAGATAGGGGTATCCTTTTACAGATGTTGGGAGTGGGGGTCCTGTTATATTCTGTAAGTAATTCTTTGTAATTTCACGGATAATGAGTTAATAGTCATCTTCATCTTTTGACCTAATTTAAATTCATTTTTTGTTTCATTTTATATTCTTTAATAACTACATATGAGGGATGTGATGTCTAAAGAACTAAGTTCAGTCCCTTCCTTTTTGTAAATTCTTCATGGGCCTCTACTAGTATTAATATCTTAATATTTATCAAGCAGATACTGTTCTTAAAAATAAAGTAATAATTTTCTTTGAAAAATAACTTATTTAGTATTCTAATGAATATCAAAAGTAATAAGGAAGGTTCCATCTGACCTCAATTCTTGAGAAATTTCTGAAGGCGTATGAAAAGAATCCCCAAACAATTTTCACTATTATTAACATCTTGTACGACTAGAGAAATATAATTTCTTTGTGAAGAAACAAACATTTAAATTCCTTTTATTATTACACACAAACTAAAATTCACTAATTTTGACAGAATACAGAGGTAGCAATTAGTCAACTACTTACCCAATTTGTGTTAATTTCTATAGCGTCAACCTAAAGATGAGAGTTTCCAGCTGAAGCCTGCAGGTGAGCTGAGGTAAAACAGAACCTGGGTCACCCCAACCCCTTCTTATGGCTAATTGGAAAACGTAGGCCCTAAATTCAGATGATTAATTTGAACAGATTGATTCAGGGCATAACACAATCCTCCAAGAACAAGGATGACAGGGATGAAACAAGGTTGTTAATGCAGGAGCTATTTCTTTTTAGTTGTTTCCTTCTAGAAAAAAAAAATGTAAACTTGTCCAATATTCACAGTGATCATAAATATACCCAAATGTTTACTATGGGAATGTTCTCATGGTCGTTTTCTAAAAACTGTGGCAAAAACTTGTACGCGGCCACAGCATGAAGTGCTGCTCGTGACTGCTAGGGACAGAATTGTGTCCCCTCCCCCACTGCTCCCCACAGTCTTACCGTGAAGCCCTCTCTGCCAATATGACCATGTTTGAAGAGAGAGCTTTTAAGCGGTAACTAAGTGTAAATGGGGCCATCAGGGTAAGGGCTTAATCCAGTAGGATTGGTGCCCTTGTAAGAAGAGGGAGAGAGAGCTCTGTGTGTGTGTGTGTACATGCAGGCGCTGAGGAAACCCCACAGGGCATAGGCGAGAGGGCAGCCATCTGCACGCAGAAAGACAGCTCTCGCGGGAACCTGACCCTGATGGTGTCCCGAACTTGGACTTCCAAAAATCTGTGTTCTCTCTCTGTCAAGGGCCTTGGTTTTAGAAGCCAAATTCAAGTGCCTGAGATCACTTACATTTTCTAATATTCCAAATGGATGTAAAAAGTATATAAGATAATCTTTCAGGAGCTGAGTCTCTTAAAGAGAACATTATTAAATACATTGATGTAGATTTTGTCACATCATAAAAACCCTTGCGTAGACACAAAGACCTATCTCAAAAGCAATATGTGAAGAGGAAAAATGTTGCACTTCTTTTGTAATAGTGAACCAATCAAAATAAAAAATTCAGCTCTTAAAAGGATGCAGTTCTCTCATGGGGAAAGAACACTGCCTTTATATAAAATCTTTTCAGCAGAACACCGTAGGTTCTGTAAAACCCGCTGAGAGGTAAGCAGTATCCAGGACAATAAATGGCTCTAGTAAGAAAAGAAAGGTCTTCTCCTCTCCCTAAGTGCTATAATAATTACAAAGATGAAAACAAAGTGAAGGACAACCTGTTCCCCTTATAAATCGAATGTGAGTGGTCTGCAAGGTCCCAAGGAGCAGGAAAGGAGTTTGCTGTTTGTTAGCGTGTCTCGGGCTGAGCATGCAAGAGTAGGTGTGGCATGGTGTGGCAGGAAGAGTGTGGCCTTGGGATGAAGGCAGGCCTGGCTTGGAGTCTCTCCCACCATTTCCCTGTGGATGACAGGTCCATTCCTGAGACTTCCTCCATCCCCACTTTCATTTCTGCAGTCGGTGGATGGTAACAATACTGGCCTTGGAGGGCTGTGGGGAAATTACACGAGGAATCTGTAATGCTCCTCGTGTGGTCCCCAGCATGCATCCCACACATTTTAGTCTCCTGTACTCACCTTGGTTAAATAAAGGGAATGGTAACTAGTCTGCTTTTTTAAAAATAATGATGTGGCCCTCTATCAGGAGGAGCAGAGTGCGTCATACGGACCTCATGCCAGGACCTGGACAGTCTTTTTCTCTCTGTCCTCCTCATGACATCACCACCTCCAAGGCTACATCTGTAGGCAATATCACTCATCTCAAATATATTTTACTATTTCTGTCTTTGCCTCTGATTTTTTTTTTTTTTTTTTTTTTTGGACAGCTACACTACCTTCATTTCTCAGTTCACTAAGCATTCTGACCTATTTCTTACCAGATACCAAGCAGATTGGAGTTGTTTACTCAACATAAAGGAAAGGTTGATTTCAATAATGAGAGAGAATCTAGGTGTTCATGGAATGTTGTATGAAATTCAGAAAAATAGAAATAATAGAAACAGCAGCACCACACGTAGAGTAAAAGCCTGTACTTTGAAAGAAACGGACCTAATTTCAAATGTAGACTCTACTCATCACTAATATGGTGACCTGGGCAAAACCTTCAGACCTCTGATTTTCAGAGGTCTTCTCTAAAATAAAAATAATCCCATCTCACAGGGTAGTTGTAAGGTTGGAGAAGATTGCATACATGAAGTTCTTAGCATAACACCTGTCATGTAGTAAGCCCCTGATAAATTATCATTAATGTCACTCAGATTGAGTACAGCATTTTGCCAAATTAGTACTTGCATGGCTTACTAATGGCATGGCATAACTGGGAGCTGGTGAGGGCAGCAAAATAAAGGGGGCGTAGTTTTTTTCTGGTGACTAAAAAGCTTCTTGATATTTGGTTGGTTGGAATAGTCTTTGTCTTTCATGATGTTTTGTGAATAATGAAAACAGAGACAGAGCAAGTAAACAGCTGACCTCCCATCCACCTGCTTTTGGACATTTATTGAGCAATCATCAGGTTCCAGGCTGGCTATCAGTTACCTTTGTGTTCAGGGTTGAGAGGAAAGTGCACGCAGTTAGTTCTGTCTCCAGCATATATTCCCAATCTGTCTGCTGCCTCCTTCCTTTTTACTGCACTCCTATCCTGGAGCCCTTGAGAGCAGGCATCAGGACTACTGCCTCCCCTCACCAGTCTCCCTGCTCCCACTCTTGCTCAACCATCCATCCATTACCTACCAACAGTCAGAAAAATTTGCGAGAGCTATAAATCAGATTCAGTCAGTCCTAGTTAAAAATGCTTTGGCAAAATATTTCCACTTTTCACCATGGCCTGTGAAGACCGTGTGTGACTGGACCCCGAGCGCAGTTTCACATCTGATCGCATGCCCCATGCTTTCGGCTCCCATCAAATCAGCCTTCCTGAGCCCCTCCCCCCAGGGGTCAGGTTGCACCCACGTAGCCTGCCGGTCCCTCAGCCTAGAAGGTTCAGGCACCTTGTCTAGGACTGTGGCTGCTTCTCATCCCATAGATCGAGTTTCAGTGCTGCCACCTAGGAGAGACCCTCCTGGACTACCCCTCTCTCATACGTTCCCATCATCTCCACACGGCCCCCTGTCTACTTTCTATCAGAAGCACTAATCACAATCTATAATTGCCCCTCTTATTTTTGTCATTTGTAAGTTCCAGGCAAGAGACACACTGCTTGTCACATTCTCTATTGTATTCTCTGCAGGCGGGGGGGGGGGAGGGGGGTATGGCACAAAACAAGACCTCCATAAGTACTTGTTGAATGAATGAAGGATCCAAACATGGGCAAAAACAAAAGAAAAAAAATGTCATGTCTTCTTATGGTAAGGGTTAATGGAAATGTAACTTCGTGATCATCACAAGAGCACGTTGCTTAGTATACATACTTGGTATCGGACACCAGCAAGAAATCGCTGAATAAGAAGAGGTGCCGCTTCTGCCTCCTCCAGCCTCTCTTGAGCTCGACGGGGCCGTGGATAAGCAGGGTATGGGCGGCACCCTCAGATGATGTAGTGCTTTTGCTGCAGGCATCCACCTCAACAGAAGAGCTCTTCCTGCAACCCACCAAACACCACGGAGCAGCTAGTTACTAGTCAAATATACAATAGAGTTTTATGCTAAATGTCAAGGTTCGCATAACACTAAAATTTAGTCTCAACCCCGAAAGCAGAGCTCCAGAGCTCACATTCAGGGATCGCTGAGTTATAGAAAGCTATTGAAAGAGATGAGGTCGGACGTCTGGGTGGCTCAGTCGGTTAAGCGTCTGCCTTCAGCTCAGGTCATGATCCCAGGGTCCTGGGATCGAGTCCCACGTCGGGCTCCCTGCTCAGCGGGGAGCCTGCTTCTCCCTCTGCCTCTACCCCTCCACCCTGTTTGAGCTCTCTCTCTCTCTCTCTCACATGCTCTCTTTCTCAAATAAATAAACAAAATATTTTAAAAAAGGAGAGAGAGATGAGGTCACTTGGTGAATTGATGCAGATGGAGAACAGTTTCAAGGACAAAGCCCTTGGGCATGCCAACACTTAGACGTGGGGTGGAGAAAGCAGCAAAGCTAATCATGAGCTTTTAGGAAGGGGAGGATCAAGAGGTAGAGTGTATTACAAGAAGGCAAACAAACAACAACAACAAACAGGACAATTGGTGGCCTAATATAAAACAAAATGATACGGTGTGTGTGTGAAGAATTAATTACAATTTGCTTTCATGTTAAGATAAAAATGAAGACAACTGAAGATTCTGGAAATTTACTTATCTAAATCTATCTAAATCTTATCTAAATCAATATTCAAACTTGGGGGAAAAATTCTCAAAGATCGGCAAAAATACTGGAAACATCAAAAAGTTTCTAAACACAAGAGTTTAGCTATTACTTGGCTGAGCTCTGACTGAGCTCTGATAGGACTTTCTGGTCATCATAGGTAAAACAGCTAAATTGAACAGAATGCAAAAGTTCTTTCATAAATAGGACAGATATTTTCATAGACCTGGGAAAATTCTCTCTCGTGGAGCCAAGAAAGTGTCTCCTCCGAGAATGTAAACCCTGCTCTCTTCAGCTCAGCAGCACTGAATCTTACGAACCTGAGTAGCCTTTCACGAAGCTGGTGCTGAAGTTACTCATTAGTGTACACGTATTAGAAGAAACAAAAGAGAACAACACTTCCTGTTATTGTCAGTCTGTTTTGAGGCTCAAAAATAGTATATCAAAAGACTACCTTCTGCAGTGAAGCCTTGAATGACCACCTATAAGTTCTGCATACTTTCTGAATGATGTGAACATCCTTTTGTCTTCAGTTCTCAGGACTGAAAATCAAGTGAGTCTACAGCACTAGGCAGAGTACTGTAAAATGCTTGAAGCCTGAGGATTCCATAGTAACCTGAGATCACTACCATTATGATGTCACGGATCTAAGGCTCATGCCGTAACTGCCAAACTGACATACTTGTTTCCCTGATTTGGCCTGCACGTTTTGATTTTTTAAAAGTAATCTTTTTTATTTTGAGATAACTATAGATTCATATGTATCTGTAAGAAATAATACAGAGAGATTACATCAATTTTCTACAGATAGAGACTTCCAGACACTTCCATCACCACAAGGATCCTTCCTATTACCCTTTTACAACCACACAAACTTCCTTCCACCTCCCCCACCTCTTTAATCCCTGGCAATCACGAATCTGTTCTCCATGTGTATAATTTTGACATTTCAAGAATGGTATACAGAGGGGATCATATAGTATGTAACATTTTTGTGATTTGCTTTTTTCCACTCAACATAACGGGAGAGTCATCCGGATTGCCACAGGTGCTCACAGTTCATTTCTCTGTGTCTCTTAGTAGTATGCCAGGATATGGCTGTATCACAGTTTGCTTCACCACCTGCTGAAGGAATTCTGGATTGTCTGCAGGCTTGGGCGTTCACTAATAAAGCTGCTGTAAACATCTGTGTACAGGTTTTTGTGTCAGCGTCGGTCTTCTCTCCTCTGGGCTAAATGCCCAGGAGTCCAATTGCCAGGTCCTAGGGTAGCTGCTCTGTTTTGTTTTTTAAGACACTAACTGTTTTCCAGAATGGCTCTGCCATTTCACATTCTCACCAGTACTGTGGGAGTGATTCAGTTTCCCCACATCCACACTAGCATCCACACTGGCAACTAGTGTTGTCATTTTTTATTTTAGCTGTTCTGATAGCTGTGTCATGATATCTCACTGTGGATTTAACGTGCATTTCCCCAATGGTTAGTGATGCTAAACATCTATTTGCCGTGCGGACATCTTCTTCAGTGTGACGGAACCTACAGTAGTCTGTTAAAAACATTTTCCGTGGAGACGGTGTTCCCTGTCCACTAGAAAACTGACCATTTTACAGATGAGGAGGTGCTTCACGGACAGGTTAGACGCTTTCAATTCAAGCAGCTGCGACATAACATGAAGGATTCAAATCCAGCTGACTCAGGAGGTCACTCAGCTTCCTGTGAGGGCCCCCCACTCTTCTCACACGGACAGTGTCTTTCCTTTGACAACAGTGGAGGACTGAAATTTGATCCTACTAACAAAGTTCATGGTTTCCCTTATAGGCACCTCGAACAGGTATGTGAATCCCTCTCTTTTATTCCCCACTCGACTCTATGGGCCTCAAGGAAAGAGTCTATGTCTGATTTATCATTTTAATTCTCACAAACATTGGCACATTGGAGGAATTCAAAAATTCTCTTGAATGGGTGAATGAAATAGTTTTCTGGCATGGATGGATGGGGAAAAGGCATGACCTAAACTAGTCTCTCTCTCATTTACTTCATTCATTCAACAGATAGTGTTTGAACCTGTACTAGGAGAAAGACACTTGCTAGGTCTGGGCAACAGAGAGCCAGGCCCAACTCTCACAAAACCAGGATTTAAATGGGGGGGTGGGGGGCAGAAATTAAACAAAGAGTGTCATCAATAACTGTGTAACACCAGACTCTGGAAAGTACTGCAGAGAAAAATTAAAGAGTGAGATGAGAAATTAAAAGAGGGACCTGACACCTGATTTCAGTTGTGAAGAAGTCTCCTTTGAAGAGCTCCTTTAAAATGAGCTTTAAAGAATAATTAGGGATTGATTAGAGAGAGGAGAGAAAAGAGGAAGGCAGAGGGAAGGGACAAGAAGAGAAGTGTATTGGAAGGGAAGATACATTTTTCAGCTGAAGGGACAGAATGCGAATATGTGACGTTTCAGAGACATGGAAGAGTTTGCTAGTTTGGAGATACAGGCAGAAGGTACAGGAGCATGAAATATGCCTGAAAAAGTAGGTAGAGGCAAGAGCACAAGTCCTGGTAGACCTTTTAGACTTTACTGAGGCCTCTCATCTTAAAACCAAACTAGCACAGAAGTGACATGTAGATAGTGGCCTTCAGACTTTTCACCACTTTTATTTTTTTTAAGATTTTATTTATTTATTTGGGTGGGGGGTAGCAGAGGGAGAGGGACAAGCACAAACAGTGCTGAGAGTGGAGCCTGACCTGGGGCTCGATCTCACAGCCCTGAGATCATGACCTGAACCAAGATCACGACCTGAGCCGAGATCAAGAGTCAGAAGCTTAACCGACTGAGCCACCCAGATGCCCCTTCTCACCACTTTTAAAGGGACAAGTGCTAGTCTGGACATGTTTGATTGTATTAGAACCATGGAGGCTCATGGGGCAACACTTTCTGGCCTCCCCTCAAGCATCTGTCAACAGTTATTTAATGTAAAAATGTAGGCAAACTTATCTCTGCACCTTCCCCAATTCCCAGATTATGTCCCATTTCTCTGCCTCTCCCTTCAGAGAGGTTAGAGATTTAGAGACCAGGAAAACTCTCCTTCTAGAATCTAGTATCTGCTTATCAATACTGATATGCATCAGTCTCACTTGGGGGAGTTTTCAGGCACTCCCTCTCTAACCCCCAGAGGTTCTGATTCATCAGATCCAGAAAACCTGTATTTTGAAAAATTTTTTGAGTGATTCTTGTATGTAACCAGGATTGTGAGTTACTAATCTTCAGGAATTAATTGAGAAAGATGTAGTGTTCTGATTCTATCTTCCCCTTGTAGTAAAGCCAAGGAGAGAAAAGTTTTCTTAGAAAGATAAAGGGAGCTTTCCTTAGTCATGTAATAGTTACATTTACAGTAATAGCTAAAGCTTAATTTCTTCTAAAATACCATTGCTACTTATTTTAATTTGATGAATGAGCTCTAAATAGAATCACAGTGATAGGGTTTGTTTTCATCTATTTCATTGAACACTTAACTTTTCACCCTAAATATCAAATAGAAGAGATAGTATAAGGTAATCCTATGCCCATAATACCAATATTTTTAAGCATGTTGCAAAGACAAGACTATTTAAAAATTTTTTTTGAAGATTTTATTTATTTGAGAGAGAAGTGAGAGAGAGAGAGAGCATGAGCAGGGAGGGGGGTCGGGGGGAGGGGGAGAAGCAGACTCCCCTATGAGCAGGGAGCCCGATGTGGGGCTTGATCCCAGGACCCTGAGATCACGACCTGAGCCGAAGGCAGATGCTTAACTGAATGAGCCATGCAGGTGCCCCTAGACTATTTTCTTAATTCAATTTCTTTCTTTTAATTTTTTTATATTTATTTTATTTCAATTCCAGTATAATTAAGTGTTATTATTAGTTTCAGGTGTACAATATAGTGATTCGATAATTCTATACATTACTCAGTGCTCATCATGATAAGTGTACTCTTAATCCCCATCACCTACCATCCATCCCCCCACCCACCTTCCTTCTGATAACTATCAGTTTGTTTTCTATAGCTAAGAGTCTGTCTTTTGGTTTATCTCTTTTTTATTTGTTTTGTTTCTTAAATTCCACATATAAGTGAAATCATATGGTATTTGTCTTTCTCTGACTTATTTCACTTAGCATTATACCCTCTAAATCCATCCATGTTGTTGCAAATGGCAAGATTTCATCTTTTTTATTGCTGAATAATATTCCATTGTGTGTGTGTGTGTGTGTGTGTGTGTGTGTATATCACATCTTCTTCATCCATTCATCTATCAGTGGACACTTGGGCTTGCTCCATAATTTGGCTACTGTAAATAATGTTGCAACAAACATAGGGGTGCATATATCTTTTTAAATTAGTGTTTTTCTCTTTTTAAAGATTTTATTTATTTATTTATTTATTTATTTATTTATTTATTTATTTGAGAATGAGAGAGGGTGAGCAGACAGGTGGGGGCAGGGGCAGAGGAAGAGGGAGAGGGAATCTCAAGCAGACTCTGTGCTGAGCGCAGAACCCAATGTGGGGTTCGATCCCATGATCCCGAGATTATGACCTGAGCTGAAACCATGTGCTAGATGCTTAACCGACTGAGCCACCCAGACACCCCACAAATTAGTGTTTTTCTATTTGGGGGGTAAATACTCAGTTATGGATCATATAGCAATTCTATCTTTAATTTTTTGAGGAACCTCCATATTGTTTTCCACAGGGGGCTGCACCAGTTGGCATTCCCACCAACAGTGCACAAGAGTTCCTTTTTCTCCACAATCTTGCCAAAACCTGTTGTTTCTTGTGTTGTTGATTTTAGCCATTTGGACAGGTATGAGGTGATAGCTCATTGTGGTTTTCATTTGCATTTCCCTGATGATGAGTGATTTGAGCATCTTTTCGTGTCTGTTGGCCATCTGTGTCTTCTTTGGAGAAATGTCTGTTGATGTCTTCCGCCTATTTTTAAATTGGATCATTTGGTTTTTTGGTGTTGAGTTGTATAAGCTCTTTATATATTTTGGATACTAACCTTTTATATCATTTGCAAATATCTTCTCCCATTCAGTAACTTGTCCTCTCGTTTTATTGGTGGTTTTCTTTGCTGTGCAGAAGCCTTTTATTTTGATGTAGTCCCAATAATTTATTTTTGCTTTTGTCTCCCTTGCCTCAGGGGACATATCTAGGAAGATGTTGTTACAACCAGTGTCTGAGAAATTACTATATGTGCTCTCTGCTAGGACTTTTTTGGTTTCAAGTCTTACATTTAGGTCTTTAATCCATTTTGAATTTTATTTTTGTGTATAGTGTAAGAGAGTGGTCCAGTCTCATTCTTTTGGATGTACCTGTCCAGTTTTCCCAA